GCATTCATAATGGCCAATAGCGAGTTTCACACACTGTGTGTGTGTGTGTGTTTTGTTTCATCAAAGGAGACCGAAAAGCTACTATTTTGGGTTTATCCATGGCAGTTCAACTTCACACACACACACGCGCGCGCGCGCGCGCGCTCTGAGCCAGTGGACGCGCACTGTTATGAATGCACAATGTTTCGACTTTAATCTCGAAACATTTCGACTTTAATCTCGAAACATTCCGACTTTAATCTCGAAACATTCCGACTTTAATCTCGAAACATTCCGACTTTAATCTCGAAACATTTCGACTTTAATCTCGAAACATTTCGACTTTAATCTCGAAACATTTCGACTTTAATCTCGAAACATTTCGACTTTAATCTCGAAATGCTAGATTTTTTTTTTTTTAACAGGTTTTTTTTTTTTACAGATTTTTTTTTTTTTTAGATTTTTTTTTTTTTTACTGATTTTTTTTTTTTAGGTTGCGGTTCAGGGCTTCCGTAGGGTCATCTTTGAAGGATGAACAAATAATGTTTTGGTCATCACATTAAAAATAACATTTAAACATATATATTTAAATGTTATTTTTAATGTGATGACCACAACATTATTTGTTCATCCTTCAAATTTATTTAGATAATGTTTGAATTTTGAAGTGCTGGAAAAAGATGTGTGAAGTACTTGAAAGCATTTCACCATTCCAGCCAAACTGGTTCCAGTTAGTGTTACTATATTAAATCCATGGTGAATGTTGCTGGTGTCACGGTGCCGGTGGAGTGTTGGCAGAAGAAGGAGAACAAGCTCCAATGCAAACACTTTAATTTAACTCAGAATAGCAAACAGGCACGGGTACAGGCAGGAATACACTCACGACACGGAAGGGTAACATCAACATCGACCGACAATGACAGCCTGAATGAGAAGGAACTAAATACACAGGGGAATCAAACATAATGAGGTGCAAACAGGTGAAACAGGACGCTGAATGGGAGGCTGATGAGGGAGTGAGTTCAGGTGTGCAGACGAGAGGATCATGGGAAGTGTAGTGCTGAAGACAAGACAGACTGGTGCAGACGGAGGACTGTGACAGAACTCCCCCCTCCCGGGAGGCGTGACCTCACGCCGCAGAACAGAGGAAGGAGGGGGACGATCTGAGGGCTGAGGGGGTCGTGGCCAGGGCGGAGCAGGTTGAGGGCGTGGCCAGGGCAGAGCAGGTTGAGGGCGTGGCCAGGGCGGAGCAGGTTGAGGGCGTGGCCAGGGCGGAGCAGGCTGAAGGCGTGGCCAGGGCGGAGCAGGCTGAGGGCGAGACCAGGGCGGAGCAGGCTGAGGGCGAGACCAGGGCGGAGCAGACTGAGGGCGAGACCAGGGCGGAGCAGACTGAGGGCGAGACCAGGGCGGAGCAGACTGAGGGCGAGACCAGGGCGGAGCAGACTGAGGGCAAGACCAGGGCGGAGCAGATGGAGGGAGGACCCCTGGTGGAGCCGATGGAAGCGGGGCTGACAACACCAGGGGGCCGACTGACAGGGGCGGAGCAGATGGGAGAGGAGACCAGGGTGAAGCAGAGGGACAGACGACATCGGGTGCTGAAGAGGGACCGAGGGGCCATGGGGACACCGTAGGCTCAGGTGACAAAAGTGACGACAGGGGCACAGAGGGACACGGTGAGGTCAGAGGGCGTGAGGGCTGACGGGTGACTGAAGGAGTGAGGAGTCCAACTGAACCGGAGGGGTGACAAAACGGGGCGGAGCCAAAGGAAGGAAGTCCATAGGTGAGGGGAGGATGACGAGGGAGTGAAGGGAATCCGGAGGACCGAGGGAGCCTGGCCGAGGTGGTGGACTGAGGGGCCAAGGAGGAGCTGAGGGAGGTAGGAGCCACGGGGGAGCCAATGGGACCGGGGGCCGAGGAAGTGTCCCGATGGAGGAGGTGTGAGGCGAAGACCGGGGATCCACAGACCAGGCTGGGTCAGGGGAGCTGGCAGACGGAAGGGCTGACGGCTGCGTGACGGGAGGAGGTGGGAGAGGGAGGCTGGGTGGGATCCTGGTCTCGGGCTCTGGTTGGACGGTCTCGGGCTCTGGCTGGACGGTCTCGGGCTCCGGCTCTGGCTGGACGGTCTCGGGCTCTGGCTGGACGGTCTCGGGCTCCGGCTGGACGGTCTCGGGCGCCGGCTGGACGGTCTCGGGCGCCGGCTGGACGGTCTCGGGCGCTGGCTGGACGGTCTCGGGCGCTGGCTGGACGGTCTCTGGCGCTGGCTGGACGGTCTCTCGCGCTGGCTGGACGGTCTCTCGCGCTGGCTGGACGGTCTCTCGCGCTGGCTGGACGGTCTCTCGCGCTGGCTGGACGGTCTCTCGCGCTGGCTGGACGGTCTCTGGCGCTGGCTGGACGGTCTCTCGCGCTGGCTGGACGGGGCTGGGCGGAACCAGCGATGAGGAGAGCTTGGGCGTTGGAGTGGGGCTGGTGCCGTCATCGATGGTGAAAGGTGATCCACAGGACACCAGCACCCACTCAACATATGCAGCAAAGCTCCCCTGGGGACCACTCCCGGACAACTGCTCTCTGGTGGCGGTGTTGAGGCCGGCGTACAGGAAGCTGCAGAGGCAGTCGTCCGGGAAGGTTGTGGCGGAAGCGAGGTGGAAGAAATCCGCCAGATGATCCTCCAGAGACCGGTCCGCTTGCTCTAAACAGAGCAATTGGACCCCTACGAAAGGGTCCATTTTTTTTTCTTTTCCTTTTTTGATGGTCGGTCGATCTGTCACGGTGCCGGTGGAGTGTTGGCAGAAGAAGGAGAACAAGAGGCAATGCTCCAATGCAAACACTTTAATTTAACTCAGAATAGCAAACAGGCACGGGTACAGGCAGGAATACACTCACGACACGGAAGGGTAACATCAACATCGACCGACAATGACAGACTGAATGAGAAGGAACTAAATACACAGGGGAATCAAACATAATGAGGTGCAAACAGGTGAAACAGGACGCTGAATGGGAGGCTGATGAGGGAGTGAGGTCAGGTGTGCAGACGAGAGGATCATGGGAAGTGTAGTGCTGAAGACAAGACAGACTGGTGCAGACGGAGGACTGTGACAGCTGGTCTGTGGATGTAAAGTATTACTAGTTCATTCACGGCACAATGTTTCTCCTGGTTTCCATGACAGCGCTGTTTGATCTAATAGAGATCTACGGTTAATAACGGAGAAATGTGAATGCTTCTCACAAGATCTCGCAGCGATGTTATTATCTCAGTGGCGAATTCAAATGTTTTATTTACTGGATCTCTTAGCGCTGTGTAGTAACAGTGTTGCTTGATCGAGATCGGCCCGCGCTGCACAGATGTTGCTGGTCCGAACTGATAAACGATCCATGAGAAGCCCATAATGAGTAGCGCAGTTTCGTTCTGCTTTCATTACGATTGCCATTTGATGTTGTGCAACGTTGTGTTGGCCGCGTCAGCACGAATTTTGCCGGCAGGAAAAATGGTCCAAACAATCGTTCGGTTTGTATGCGTACTGAACCGGAAGCCTCGAACCGAAACGGTTCAATATGAATACATGTACCGTTACACCCCTAATATATATATTGACATACATACGTACATATTATCCTTGCCTGTAGAGAGGAGTTTATTTCAGCATCATATAAAATCAACAATAATGATAAATAATATTAAAGCAAACACAGCTCTGGTATCGGAAAATTATCGGTATCGGCCGATATCCAAAGTCAGGTATCGGGATCGGAAGTGAAAAAATGTGGATCGGTGCATCCCTACATGGTACCCAGAACCCAAAAATGTGTGGTCCAAAAGAGATGTTACAGCATCATATGACAGTCCATGGCCTGTGGGAAAGTTGTTCTTTCCGGTGTACACAGAAAAGTCCACTGTGTATCCATTCGATGAGTCTGCAAGAACAAACAGCTTGAAACCCCACCTGGTTGGCTTGGCTTTTATATATTGTGTCATACCGGTGTGTGCTGTGCATGCCACCATTCGTTCATCCACAGCTAAGTTTCTTTTAGGATGATAGATGGATTTACAAGCATGACGAATGGAGTCCATGAGAGGTTTGACCCTGAAAAGACGGTCATGTTCAGCTGTGCCCCTCTTTCTATCATTCTCTTTATCTCCATCTGGGTGACTAATGTGCACATTCCATGAAATGTTGCAGTATCTGTCCCTGAACATGACTGTGGCTGGAAAGGGTACGGAGAAAACACTGCTTTGCCGCCAGTAGTTCCTGATGGAGCTGACCTTCACCATTGCCATGTAAAACAGCAGCCCAATGTAGTGGTACATTTCACTGACGCTGACATCTACCCATTTGTATTTGCAGCCTTTTGCAGTTGCCTTGACAGCTTGGGCATTGGTGTTGTGGCACAGAGTTGACACAGCACTTTCTGAAAAAAAAAAATAGTTTGAATAGACTCATGGGCGAATGCGAGTCTACAGAGCTCAGTTGTGGTCCAGTTTCCCGTGCGGGCAGGAACCGCAGTGTCTGATTCTCAACAACTCGTCTCCATACCAGCGTGATTACTTCGACTTCCAAACAGATGGAAAAGGACAAATACTCTTAATGTTTCGATCCAATTTGTGTTGTAATGCTACCCGAATCACACACTGTTCCTTCATTGGCCAGAGAATTGCCACCCGACTGAGCCTGGTTTCTCCCAAGGTTTTTTTCTCCATTCTGACACCTGATGGGAGTTTGGGTTCCTTGCCACTGTTGCCTTGGCTTTTGGCTTGCTTAGTTGGGGACATTTAATATTCAACAATATTATTGATCTGTGTTGTATTATTTTCATGTTATCATTGTGAAGCCGCTTTGATACAATCTGTATTGTAAAAAGCGCTATATAAATAAAGGTGACTTGACTTCACATGTAAACGTTCAAAAAAAAGTGTAGTCAAACCCAACACTTTCCACAGCGTTACATACTGTATAACATTTAGATCCGCACAGGAGATCATCCACAAAACTAAAGCTAAATTCAGCATATCTGTCATGTGTTACCCTGGAAAGGGATGTCCCTAAGTCTGGAAGGATCAGTGTTTAGTCTGCCAGAAGACTTCCTCTGGGCCATGATCTGGAGAAAGAGATAAACATAAAGCAAACTATTAACAAAAATCACATGGATATTACTGCATCACCAGTCACAAGTGTGATCCTCGCACAAGGTGGCAGGAAGGGACAGTCTTTGAGTCATTTAAAGGGGTCATGAACTGGCTTTTCAGTTCTGGAGGTCAACTTATGATGTTTGCTTGTTTTTGTTTTTTTTATTCAAAAACATCAAAATGAATAAGTAATAGGCTATTTTCTACCCTACTTTTGAGTCTAGCTCAAAAACACTTGATTTTTATGGTCGTCTCGCATTGAAGACTTGGAAGTAAACGCCCACTGCTGTGAGTGGATAACAGTTTTGCACAGGACTCAATAGAGCTGGTAAGTCCCGCCCATCCGTAAAACTCCAAGTGGACCTCTAGGTTGAAAAAACGTCAACGCAAGTGAATGAGAGAAAATAATTTTTTTCTGATCCCATTTGAATTGTGCCATGAATGTAACATATGTTGTCTGTGAATTTTTTATATAATTTCTCATGTAACGAGTTTGACAGTATATTGTATGATACTTTGGCTAGCAGTTGTGGAATAGACATAACGAGAAAGACTACACGTCACATTTTCCCTCCACAAATCACGGTTTTCACCACGCTCAACTAGTTTGTTCTCTCCCTGAAAGAAGGCGGTGAAGTGCACCAAAGATACAGGTATGTTTATTGGGATCCGTGTGCTAGTTGGGGTGATGTATATCAAACACGTCGAAAGAGTTGTAGTCCACAAAGTGCTCTCACACAAAGTCTAACCGTATGAAAATTCTACCCGCTAAATTGTAGCATTATTTACACGAAAAATTACATAAAAAAATTCAGAGACAACATATGTTCACATTCATTGCAAAATTCAAACGGGATTAGAAAATATTTTTTTTTCTCTCATTCACTTGCATTGAGGATTTTTCAACCTAGAGGTCCAGCGGGGTTAGCTGAAGGGGTGGGACTTACCAGCTCTATACTAACGGCGTCCTATCGTCCTGGGGACGATAGAAAATGTGTTTAGGACGAACAGAAATATTCTCCAGGATGCCTACAGGATGAAAGACATTTTGTATGTTTGTTCACAGGGCTCGAATTTCGGCGCGGGATTGCGGGTATTGAACACAGAATCCATGCACAAGCTCTTACACCGTGTCCTAACTACACGCGACGCGACGCCGCGACACGCGATAAAAGGTATCTTTTCCATGTTAATCAGAGTTTTTGTCCTAACCAGACGCGACGGCGACACGCGAAGTTTCTAATTTAGAAACGGTTCCTATTTCTGCGACGTCGCGGCTGACAGAATGAAGAAATTACACTGGTTATGAGTACACATTATTTATTTTTAGTTAAAAATAGGTCACTGTGCCACAAGCGATAACGGATAATTTACCTCAGATTTTGAAAGCATGTAATATCGCATTCAAAATGAATTCTATGCAAACATACGACTGTACTTCTTAACAAAATTAGTCAATGAGTATATTTTGTTAATGTTTTGATTTTTAATAATGTTATTTCTTGATATGATTATGTCCTTACCCATTTCCAATGCGAGTGCGGGCCAACAGTGCGCTTTCACAGAGAGACTCTGCTCACACCATAGGCTCACACGCTGTTCTGAATGTGTGGCGTCTCACAGTCGCGTCGCGTCTAGTGTGGACAGACACACTTGCTGTCGCTGGAATTTTATCGCGTCGCGTGTAGTTAGGACACGGTGTTAAAGTATTGGTTCTTAACGGGGGCGGTACCGCACCCCAGGGGGTGTTCAGAGAACAACGGGGGGCGTTGGAAGCAAGATTTTTGAAAGGGGGGCGTTCATGATTTTAAATACAACACAAATTTTTGTTCATTTACTTTCATTAATTTTAAGCATTTGATAATTTATTTGTAATAAACACTTTAAATGGGCTATATAAAATGTCTTAGCACTATTTATATGTTAAATTATGTTGTAAAAAATGCGCAGAGCATGAGGTGATATTGTCTGTGCGTGTGTATGCGCGGGTAGAAAAAAAAAAAAAAAAAAAAAACATTTGTCCACTCTACTCCTGCCCGCAAGTCCACCGTCAGTGTTATAGGTAGACATTAAGCTTTTATGGTGTTTATGGTGTTCATTAAGTTGGCTTGAGAAAGCCAACTTACTGAAATCCTATTTAAACTTATTATTATTAGTGGTGCTTGCAAAGCAACACTATTGTTATCTTGCATACTTATTATTTTTTTTAAACTTCCGCCACTTTTTGGCGCGCTACTCCTCCCGCAGCTTTTGTCACAGACCCATGGGTGAGGCGTCAAATCGACCGGCTCATTTAGGAGAGGTGTGCTATGACTTTTATAAGGGATCGGGGGTACGATGTTCGCCCCAGGGGTGAAAAAGCGGCCGAAAAATCCCATTGACTTAACATTGCGATGAACTTTGACCACTCGTAGCTCAGAGCAAGGATTTCGCAGAAACCTGGGATTTACCACATTTGAAGAGGCTGACAGGCTCTGTAAGAACATACCTCACAATGGGGTAAAAGTTGCACCCCTGGGGGGCAGGTGGCCCCCAAAGTTTCCCCATTGACTTACTATGGTGAAGGTCGTCCCATCAAATGCATGTGTTTTTCCTACTATGGTAAATTGCATAGGGATTTTGTATTGAACATAGCTCTGGATCATAGTGTCATAGAGACAAGGGGGCGGGCTCATTTTACTCAGACGACCAATCAGTCTCTCAGGATAATTGTGATGTTATCAAGCCACGCCCTAGCAACCATATAGAGCACCTTAGCAACAACTCCCATAGACTTCCATTGAAAGAGATCAAAGGGATATCTCCGGATTGAAGTGTCATAGAAACACAAGGGTGGTCTCGTTTGACTCGGGGTAGCAAACAGCCAATCATGAATCACCTCAACAATTTCTGGCCACACCCTAGCTTCCATTATCAAGCACCTTAGCAACCAAATTTTAAAGAGGGATATCTTCCATTCTGAATGTCATACAGGCTTGGGAGTTGTATTATATCAATTATACTGACAAGCAGCCTTTGGAGATTCATGATTGGCAGCTGCCAAGCCACTCCCTAGCAACCAAAAAGAGTACCTTAGCAACCATTTTGCAAGGCCTACATCTCTGCATCAGAACATCGTATAGAGATGGGGGTTAGTTTATACATTCACATGGACTTTGGAGCTTCATGATTGGAAGCTGCCAAGCCACTCCCTAGCAACCAAACAGAGTACCCTAGCAACCGTTTTGCAAGACCTATATCTCTGCATCAAAACATCGTATAGAGATGGGGGTTGGTTTATCCATTCACATTGACTTTGGAGCTTCATGATTGGCAGCTGCCAAGCCACTCCCTAGCAACCAAAAAGAGTACCCTAGCAACCATTTTGTAAGAGCTATATCTCAGCATCAGAACATTGTATGGGGGGTTGGGTCATCAGATGGGGGTTGGGTCTTTTGACTCATGCTAGCACATAGAACTTTCAAAATGCTAAACATGCTAGCTGTGAATAGCTACATGCTAATATTGATTAGCTAAGTGTTAAATCATTCCATGAAAAATATAAAAACTCTATAATAACCATATGTGAACACATACCAACCACCTAGTAATATCATAGCAACTACCCAGAATACCCTAGCAACAACCTAACAACACCATAGCAACCACCCAGAACACCCTAGCAACCGCATAGCAACACCCTAGCAACCACCTAGAAACTATCCAGAACACCTTAGCAACACCCCTAGCAACCACCTAGCAACACCCTAGCAACCACCCCAAACACCATAGCAACCACCTAGCAACACCTTAGCAACCACCCAGAACACCCTAGCAACCACCTAGCAACACCATAGCAACCACCGAGCAACACCCTAGCAACCGCTTAGCAACCATCCAGAACACCTTAGCAACACCCTAGCAACCACCTAGCAACCACCCAGAACACCCTAGCAACCACCTTGCAACACCCTAGCAACCACCTAGCAACACCCTAGCAACCACCCAGAACACCCTAGCAACACCCTAGCAACCACCTAGCAACCCACCTTAGCAACCACAGAGCAACACCCTAGCAACCGCCTAGCAACCTTCCAGAACACCTTAGCAACACCCTAGCAACCACCTAGCAACCACCCAGAACACCCTAGCAACTGCCTAGCAACACCCTAGCAACCACCCAGAACACCCTAGCAACCACCTAGCAACACCTTAGCAACCACCCAGAACACCTTGGCAACCACCCATAATACCCTAGCAACTGCATAGCAACCGCATAGCAACTACTCAGAATACCCTGACAACCAACTAGCAACAACCCATAAGCCATTTCTCATCACACAAACATTGTACAGACATGTTTGGTGTCCCGTATGCAATCATGTGCCACACTCTAGCAACCGGGTGGTGAGTTTTGCCACTGCAAGCACCACTTCACATTTTCTTCTGGAAATGTACATTCTAGTTATTATTATTAGTGGTGCTTGCTGAAAGCAAGGCAACACTATTACTATTGTGTTTTTTGAGCCGGCCCAAAAGTTTGGCACGCTACTCCTCCCGCAGTTTTTGTCACACACCCATGAATGAGGTCTCAAAACGTGCGGAATATTCGGGAATGGTGTGCTATGACTTTTCTAAGCGATCGGGGGTACGATGTTCGCCCGAAGGGCGAACAAATTTCCCAAAAATCCCATAGACTTAACATTGCGACAAACTTTGACGACTCGTAGCTCCGAGCGAGAATTTCACAGAAGCCTGCGATTTACCACATTTGAAGAGGCTGACAGGCTCTGTAAGAACATACCTCACAATGGGGTAAAAGTTGCACCCCTGGGGAGCAGGGGAGCTGCCCAAATTTTCCCCCATTGACCCCAATGTTATTTATTATTAGTGGTGCTTGCTGAAAGCAAGGCAACACTATTACTATTGTGTTTTTTGAGCCGGCCCAAAAGTTTGGCACGCTACTCCTCCCGCAGTTTTTGTCACACACCCATGAATGAGGTCTCAAAACGTGCGGAATATTC